GAGCACTCAACGGAAATACCTTCCTCATCCTCCTCTTCGTCATCCTCATCACTAAGGATCCCGGGACTCCCCACTCCCCACACGCCACACACACCCCACCCCCACTCAGCCATCCCGGTCATCACCAGCAGGTTTCCCTTCAGTGAGGGGGGTTCCAATGGCTCGTCCTTAGGGGCAGGAGGCATGTCAGGGGGCAACCAGGGGCCCCTCAACCTTTCCACAGCCCCCCTTGGAGGGCTGCCCTCCTCCCTCCTGTCTCCAGCCCCCTCACACCCCTCTACCTCCTCCCTCAATTCCTCCAGGGAGGAGCTGGAAAGTGAAGGCATGATGGCTGACTGCCATGTGTCATATTCCCATGCCCCCTCCCCCCACATGCCCTCACCACACCATGTCTCACCACACCTCCCCTCACCACACCTGCATGGTGGTCCCTCAGGGCACCAACTTCATGGGGGACTAGGGCCAGGGGACCGGATGGGCCATGGCTCCTCACCCTGCCCCTCATCTGTATCCCCCCAGCCCACGTCAGGGCACCAGTGGCCGACCAATGTCTGGTCTGTGTTCATGTCTGGCGTCCGTGTGCATTTCGTCCTAGGCGGTGGAGGCCAGGTCACAAGCGCAAGGCTCAGTGAAGAGCTGGGTCAACTGGAGCGCACACATCAGCAGCGCTACGCCCCCCATGGCCTACACCTGATGCGCATTCTGCATGAGGCACCCTCCACACACATCCCCGGCCCCCCAAGCTACTGCCAGCTATATTTCAGACCAGTCAGGGTCCAGCAAGAGGACATTATGGTCATCACCCCACCAGACCACCCCTTCTACGTCCATGGGAAAGGTGGGTTTGTGGAGAGGAGACCATCAACAAATCTTGTCATTATATTTGTGTGTTATGAGGTGAATGAACTGTCAGATATATAAGTAAATATACTTTTTCTCATGAATACAAATAATGAACCAAGTTAAACTCTACCAGGTTGGTGCAGCGTGTTCCCTGATCGAACAACAGAGAGATACAGTCTCCCGTGCCAACAGTTGCAAGAGGGCGATGTATGTTTACCACCGTACCATCCAGAGACAACACAGACCCCCATCCCTGTTGTCACACCAGACCTGGCTGATGCCATGAAAAGGTAAGAGAGAATGCATTGTAATAGACCCACATTTACATGTATTTATTTGTTTATTATTATTACTATTATATATATGTGTGTTTACATTATTTTGTTACGAATTCTACCTTGCATGGTTTGACCCACATATACCCATTCCTTAGATTATATTTTTTGTGATTCCAAAGTAGCACACAGCTCATGTCCAACCTCGGCACTTTCGAAATGACTTTACCTGCCCACTAATACGCACACACAGAAATAACCCTATGCCCTTCGCAACACCTGGAGCCTAAAAGACCGGCACACTTGCAGGTTTGACTTTAACGACGACCTGGTGGAGGGAGGGCCGGGAGCCTACTCAGCCCCCCCCAGTGCCACCTTCCCCCCCCACACACACAGAACAGTCTTCCTCTCGCCACCAGCCTCGCCCTCCAAGAAGAATCGGGACTGCCGCGGCGGAGGGGGAGGGGGAGGGGGAGCAATGGGAGGAGCAGAAGGCGGAGGTGGCAGTCGCGCAAGAAGGCCCATGAACGGATTCATGTTATTTGCTAAGCATCATCGTCTCAAGCTCATCCAGCAGTACCCTGGAAAAGACAACAGGTGAGAAACAACTTTCCTTGCCTTCTTTGGTTTTTCCCTTTCTCTTCTGGTTCCCCTAAGCTCATTGTATTTGCTTCACCTATTTCATATCCACAAACAGTGGGTATAGTTCATTTATTTATTTGGGGAATTCAAGTAATATGCCTCCACAGAATCAAAAAAGAAAGTCGGTTTCAGAAGTTTTTTTTTTTTTTTCATAATTATATCATATTTATTAGTCCAAAGTTTTCATAATACTAAGAGTTTGATCCTAATCCCTGAACACTAGGAAGAGGAACTCTACCGGAGTATTAATTTGGGTTGATTTTGTATTTATCTCTTTCTTTATTTCTTTTTTACACCTCAATGGCATTTTAAGCAGTAATGGATTAAATTTCAAATTGTACAAAAATAGATTTGGTGAGCAAGTATATTTGGAAACAGCTCGTATGAAAAGTTTGTGAACCTCATGTGAACCATCAGGATCTTAAACTAAGCATGCAAACAGTCAGTCATTGACCAATGTGAACTTAGTCAGCTTTTTATGAAGTCAGTCATTCAGATGCTAATGAACCTCTGATGCTTCCAGGGCTATCTCTGTCCTCCTAGGCAGTATGTGGAAAGCCTTGCCCGAGGAGGACCGCGAGACGTTTAATGCGGAAGCCAGAGCACAAGCAGAAGAACGGAAAAGAATTGACCCAGACTGCTGGAAGAGAAAACGCTCGCACTCCACCAGTTAAAAGGGTGATGGCAGCAACATAGCTGTTTTTGTAGGCTTCTAATTTTATTATTATTTTTTATCATTATCATATATATGTGTGTATATGTATATACATACATACATACATACATACATATATATATATATATATATATATATATATATATATATATATATATATATATATATATATATATATATATATACATACATACATATATATAAATGTATGTACATATATACATACATACATATATATACATATATATACATTCATATATATGTATATATGCATATATATTTATATATATATGTATGTATGTATGTATATCTATATGTATATGTGCGTGTGTGTGTGTGTGTGTTCTGCTGTTTCCCCATGTGATTTCAGGACTTCCTTGAAAATGTTTGTTTACTGTACTTGATATGGAACATGAAATACATTAATAAAAAGAAAACAAATGTAGGAAGTCCTGATGGGGACTGAAAAGTCAAAGAAATCTGAAGAAAAGTGTCAAGAAGTGCAGACTCTAACAGTTTTATGAGATGCATTTCAATATTTTTTTTTTTCTTCTTATCCTCCTCCTCTTCCTCCTCCTTCCTTCTTTGTTCTCTCATCAGTTCGTTGCAGGATTTATGTTCTCTCCCTCTTTCATTCTCTCTCTTTCCTTCTTTCTCCCTTTTTTTTTTCTTTTTTCTTTTCCCATCAAAGATGAATATGTAAGATACTAATAAAGCTGCATGTGCCTGTACAATAGCAGGGAAAGCGCTGAGCAGCTAGTACAGTATAGGATTTAAGGAAAAAGAAAAAAAGAATATATCTCGTGTGATAGAAACGCACTGTTTTACCCTGATCTCTCGTTTTTTTTTCTGTTTTCCCATGTTGTTCTTCATTATAGATTATTTATATGTTATCACCATTATTATCATTAAAATAATTATAAATGGTATCAATATTATTTTTATTCTTTTTCTTTCTCATTAGTTTTTTTTTTTATCTATTTATTAATTTTTTTCCTACCAACCTTGTGTATAGGCTAAAGGAGCAAGTAGAGGAGGCAGAGTACGTCCAAACGGCATTATTGGACTCTTGCTTAAGGACATTTGACGTGTTATTGTAAAACTGTCCGCCCTATTAATAGCTAAGGTCGTTAATGGTTGTCAAGTGCGACCCAGGTTGTATTTGACCCAACATTTTTGGTCAGGTCACACAATGGTTTGGTTATGTGGTATCTCCTGTTTATCTTCGGTATTGATTTTGCGGAATTATAGAATTATTGGTGAATTGGTCTGTGTGATATTGTAATTGTTATTTTAGATTTATGAAGAGAATTATCATCAGCATTACCAGAAACATTATTACGAGAATGATAATGCCTCTCATTATTATTATTATTGTTTTTTTTTTTTTGTTTTTTTTATGGCTTCATGTGCAATAGTGTATTCATTCCCCCCCTCACCCCCCATATATGTTCTTTTTTTATTAGAAGAAAACAACAAAGTGTAGAACCCTCTCTACGCATCTGTTCTTATTTTTTCTGTCGTATTTATGAGTGATGCTGCAACGAAAGTATCAAGGATCAAGTATTATCAGCATATTTATATTTAGTCGATAAGGTTGAAGGTCTCTTTTTAAGGAATTTCTTTTTTTGTTTTCCGTCTTGCAGTTGGTAAGTGATCTCTGTATTAACTTTGTCCAGGGGTTAGAAAGCAGTCTAGACTTTGTTCTTAATTTATTTTGGTTCAGTTTTTTTTTTTTTACCCTTAGTCCTTTTTTTTTCTTTTCTTTTTTTTTTGATAAACTTTTTCGTATTTTGTTCTCTAGCCTTCCCCCACCAAATTGGTATAGAATTTTTATTTCCTTTTTTCTCTCTCACTCTCTCTTTTTGTCTCCTTTTATTTCTGTCTGTTTTGTTATTGACATCATTTGCTTAGAATTTATTCCATTTGAAGAAATATCAAAACTTATAAAGTAATTTGCTCAGCTGTTCAGTTTATTTTGCTCTATTTGTGTCTTTTTTTCTTTTCCTTTTATAAAAGTTTCTTCCTATTTTTTTTTCCCAAATATAAAGAGGCAATATTATGAAATGTTTCTCATTGCAGTATTAGTTTTTATGCTATTTAAAAGAACTAGTTGTTCAGGTAGGCACATGTATTTTCCCCTCCCCACACAATCACCTTTTTGTTATCTGTCAGTTTTCTTCCCCAGTCCCCCCCTCCCTCTCCTCCCTTTTTTATCCACTTTTGAATAGTTTGTCATGCATGGCAAAGCCTTATGGCAAACTGGCAACTTCTTAGGGGCCATGCAGATTGAACGCTCTTCCTCAATTATCCCGGTATATCTGCTCAAAACCACAGCTGCCAATCGTTTGCAGCAGTATGTGTGTGTCTTAGGAGCTGCATAGTTCTCACTCTTTTCTCTCTCTTTTTCTCTCTCATTCTCTGTCTCTCTGTCTCTCTGTCTCTCTCTCTGTCTCTCTCTCTGTCTCTCTCTCTGTCTCTCTCTCTCTCTCTCTCTCTCTCTCTCTCTCTCTCTCTCTCTCTCTCTCTCTCTCTCTCTCTCTCTCTCTCTCTCTCTCTCTCTCTCTCTCTCTCTCCCTCCCTCCCTCCCTCCCTCCCTCCCTCTCTCCCTCTCTCCCTCTCTCCCTCTCTCTCTCTCTCTCTCTCTCTCTCTCTCTTCTCTCTCTCTCTCCCTCCCTCTCCCTCCCTCCCTCTCTCCCTCTCTCCCTCCCCTCTCTTTTCTTTTTTACCTAGACACAAGTAATCAACCACTAGAGGAAAAGCCTTACTCAGATGTGATAGTATAGGCTAAAGGGTATTAGATATAGATACAACTGCAGGCCGGTTGCCAAGACAATCGTTTGCTCTTTTCTCTCTCTCCTTGCCTTTTTGGTTTCACTGCCCTTTTTTATACACTTAGAAGGTCCTCCGGTAAAGAGTTTACGATATTTTCCTCTTCGGGAGGGGTTAAATCGTCCTTGGGGATTTATATTCTGGGGTGAGTTTTTGCATATTAGAACAGCTTACAATGCCCCCCCCCCCCCCTCACCCGTCTCCTTAACAAGCGTCTGCACAATCTCTGTTTGTTTTAAAAGAGATGAAAAAATATAGGAGTGATATTTCTTAATCTCATCTTTTCAGATGTCAGTCTATCTTGCCATATGTATATGAATATATATATAAATGTATATGTTGAGATTCAGCCTGAGAAAGTAGATATGCACTGGTTAGGGCAAAAGTTTCCAGGAAGAGATTTATTGTAGACTGGGCTTGCTCTCACACTCCAAATTACCTGCGTAATTTGGCAGTTTGTCGAATAGCATTTTTTGCTCTCATCTGTAGCGTCTTCTGAAGGTTACAGTGATTAAAAACGCTGACTTTCTCCTTGAAAATTAGGTCAAAGATTTATTTGTGTGTGAGTGTGTGTGTGAGTGTGTGTGTGAGTGAGTGTGTGTGTGTGTGTGTGTGTGTGTGTGTGTGTGTGTGTGTGAGTGAGTGAGTGAGTGTGTGTGTGTGTGAGTGAGTGAGTGAGTGAGTGAGTGAGTGTGTGAGTGTGTGAGTGTGTGTGTGTGTGTGTGTGAGTGAGTGAGTGAGTGAGTGAGTGAGTGAGTGTGTGTGTGTGTGTGTGTGTGTGAATTCAGAATATATGTAATGTTTGTGTTTCTTTTGTTCTCTTCTCTTTATTTTTCTAGGTATCTTTCTCTCCCTTGATTCCATTAAGCAGTGCAGATCTCTTGACTTAAACTTAAATGACATTTCTTAAGAGTCTAAAAGGAGCTTCTTCAATATAATCTGAAGTGGATGAGATTAAGAATAGACATTCAAAAAAAAGCAAAAGAATAAAAAAAATAAACTTTGAGTGATACACACAAGGGGAACACTTGCCCTGCCACTTAGTGCTCGCGTGTCGTAAGTCTTTCAAAAGCACAAATATAACATAGAGAACAAGCTATTTTTGTTCGTAAAAAAAAAAAGTTTTAAAAATGCCTATAAAAATATTGATAACTATTTTTCTACTCTTGCCTCGAACTCCTTCCCTGTTATTGTGCGACTATGTTGACTGTAAATTATTACTGTTATAAACAAGATCTCTTCCTCCAATTTAAGAGAAAAAAAGAATAGGTAAAAGAACTGTTACATATTGTAGCAGATATATAGAGAAATCATATTATGTTTTTTATTGGAAACAAATTTTAAATGATAGGTTAAGAAGTATTAAAATTTGCTCATGAAGAAAAGTTTAAAAAAATGTAGTAGTCTGATAGGTAAGGTTTAAGCTTGAACTAAAGAGCTGTAGCACCTTTTTTTATCCAGCCGGCCCTGGGGTGGTCCCAGGGGCGGCTGCTGCGTCTTTCATCTGTCCTCAAAAATATAAAACCCTGTCAGGAACACCAGGAGAGTATATGCCAAACTTCTGCCGTAGACGCAACCCCTGCTTCTCCCCTTCTGCGTCCAACACCCACCTATGGGCATATGGGCAAGCACACACATGCCTTTCACCTCCCCCACCTCAGAGAGGGATTTCAGCCGGGCAGTGTGGAGGCGCAGGAAGGGATGCTTGGGTTATGTTGAAAGGCGGAATCTGGCGCAGGCATTCTCACCAGCAAGCACACACAAGGTAGTTGAGACGTGGTTGTATGTGCAAGTGTGCGCACTCCCTCCCACTTTAGGAAAACCAAGAAAGTATCGGGAAACCCCAGTGAAATTTAGAGATCTCTTTCTATCTCTCTCTCCTTTGCTTATGCACAGTAGGCATAGGAGAAGCAATCTTGTGCCATCACTCAGTTGCACAGCATGCTGCGTCTCAAATAATTCCTTCCGGAAGCTTGGGTCTGCTCTGCAGTGAGGATGTCACACTAGTGTAGTTCACGTGATCTCAATATAGAGGAACATAATCTATGCTGCTGATTGCAGTAGCATGGGTTATCTGTTTATATTTTACCATGGCAGACTGTGGTCGAGGCAAATACTTGTATCTGTTTTTATCGTTTTATTTTATTTTTTATTTTTTTTACGTTATCTTATTTTTGTGAGGGTCATATCTGAAAAGTAAAAGCCATCCCTCCCCGTTTACCAATATTTGGT